TAGCCGGCTGTGGTGGTACATGCCTGTAATCCCAGCTACTCTTGAGGCTGAGACAGAATTGCCTAGAACCTGGGAGGCAAGAGTTGTAGTGAGCCAAGATCACGCCAGTCTGGGCGACAGAGCGAGATTCTGTCTCAAAGGAGAAAAAAAAAAGGGAATGTCTAGATGCAGTAGCTAAGTACGCAGAAGCCATTTCAGTGTGGGAGGCGAGGTGACTGAGTCCAGGGACTCCAGGTTTCTGGCTGAGGGGTTGAGACCGCCCATGGTCATTGTGATGAGTTGAAGGTGGAAAATGAGCTGGGCTGGGGGAAGGTGGTCATTTCCTCTGGATGTGATTAGTTTGAGAGTCCTGTTGGGTAGCTCACTGGGCATGGTCAGTAGGCAGTTGAGCTGAGAGGGTTTGGAGCTGGGATTGACTCCAGCCTCACCATGTGGGCAATAGTAGGGGTCACAGAGTGTGAAGATGGCCAAGAAAGAGGACTGGGTGGGGGTCAGCAGCTGGGCATGGGCCATGGAGAAACAGATGCCAGGGGAAGAGGAAAGGGGAGTCAGACCCCAAGGGGAAAAGAGTCACTGGAAAGAGGGGCAGCCCCGTGTCACATCCAGCAGAGGCACCAGGTACAGCAGAAGGACTTTGGACATGACCATGAGGAGTGCCTTGTTGGCCATGATCTCGGAGAGATGGGGGTGAGAGCATGGAGGACCACACCATGTCCCCAGCACAGAAAATAGTGCCTGGTAGACAGGATTCATTTATGGATGGACGGACAGGTAAACGGATGGATGAATGGATAGATGATAGATGGATGCAAAGACAGATGAATAGGTGGACAGATGGAATGAATGATCAGAAAAGGCTTCATGAAGAAAGTGAGACTGAGCTGCATCTCCATGGATAGATATGAAAGCAGAGGAATCTCCTCTTGAGTCGGGAATGACCCAGCAACCTGGTCCAGGGAGGAAGTCAGCCTGGCAGCCTGGCTTGACTGGGGACACTTGTGGCGTATTTCAGAGGCCCTTAAAATGGAGCCAAGTGAGGTTGGGCAGGTCTGAGCCAGCTCAGCACTCCTCAGCCACACCGCACAGCTGCCTGAGGGGATGTGTCACTCAGGGAGTTGCTCGGACTCACTGGGCCAGCTTGCCATCGGCACCAACAGCTTCAGAGAGTGGGACACAGGCTGCGGTGACTCCAAGGCTGTGGAAGGCACCTGCCTCAGACAGGGAACAGGCACAGAGACACTACTGGGATACTGGGCACCCCCTGCCCTGTGCCTAGGTCACAACCTCCACACTGCAGCCCTGTGCCCCTCACACCCAGCAGGTTCCTGCTCCAGCACAGCTCCTGGACTGGCCCCAGGTGCTGGCCCCGGAGGTTTCAATCCAAGCATAATTCACCAAGGCATGTGCTTGACAGCGGGACCCAGCTCACCGTTTTAGGTACGTGGCTCTGACAACTTTCCCCAGCCTGTCCCACCCTCTCCTGTCTCTGGAAAAGTCTGCTTTCTTTCTCTGGGGCTTCTTCTCTGCCCTCCAAGTCTTAAGCATGGAACCCTTCCTTTCTCCATGGAGTCTGGGGGAAGCGGGCTAGTCTCAGGGTATCCTGCAGGAAGGGCCACCACAATGGGAACAGCCGCCTTCAGGTTCCAACAGCAGGACACAGCCTTTGCCCGGTGCCTGGGCTGAGATTGGGCAGGGTCAGGGCTCCCTGCCTCTCCCAGGGCAGATGTCTGAGTGAGGAACAGAGGCCAGTTCTGATGAGGGGCCCTGCAGTGGTCTTGGAGACAGTCCCCTGGACCCCCGGGTCTAGGCTGAGGGCTGGGTGCTCATCCAGCCTGGGAGGGCCACACGGGGGCCTGGGGACACAAGAGTCTCTCCAAGGGGAGACCAGTGGAAGGCACAGGACTCTGGTTCTAGGCTGCAGCTCTGTGGCTTGTGCTGGGTCATGAGGACATGGGGACACCAAGGGAAAGATGAGACTGGGCGAGGTCCAAGAGCTCAGCTATCCCAGGACAGTAACAAGAAAGGAGGGGGTCTCTTGGGGCAGAGATGTGTCTGTCCCTGGAGCCCTGTCACCTCTGGGGCCCACTGTCTCTCTGTTCACTGGTCAACCTCCAGTCTTCATTTGAGGAATGGCACCTTAGACTCAGGAGGTGACTAGCAGGCAGTAAACGGGGGTGCAGAGAACTCCAGGGCCACCAGGTGAAGTCCAGGGGCATCAGAGGCTGCTGGGGTGGCCATGGGGCTGCAGTGACCCAAAGTCTGGGGGAACAGCCCCAAGAACCCAGCCAATGTGAAGGGTCCTGTGGCCGGGCTGGTGGGACGGGGTCGACGGCAGAGCCCCAGGGTTTGTCCAGGTGGAGCCTGTGCTTCACCAGGAGAGGTGAGTGGGCCAGGCTGGGGCACAGCCTGGTGTCCCAGGGGACGGGAGGCTCCAGGCCATGCCAGGCATAGGCCTCCCCACACACTGCCAGAACAGTTTTGTGTGCTGTGGGAGAGACTCCTCGTTTTCAAACTCAGACTCCAGAAACCAAGAAGGAGGGAGCACAGCCTGCTCTGGGTACACACGGGGAAACCAAGGCTGCAGAGGAAATGACTGAGCCAGGACACCTGGCAAAGGTGACTTGGGAAGGCCCCTAGGAAGGTGCAGGGTTGTCTGCTCTCCAGAGGGCTCTAGTGGAAAGGAGGGAATTAAGATGGGGGGAGAGACCCTGGGTGGACCAGATGGCCACACCATGAACCCTCCCAGAGACTTTAGACAGAGAGAGGTGCTCCACAGCACCCCACGCTACCTCTGCCATCTCTCACCCCCTCCTCTGTCCACATAGGTCAGCCCAAGGCCACCCCTCAGTCACTCTGTTTCCGCAATCTTCTGAGGAGATGCAAGCCAACAAGGCCACACTGGTGTGTCTCATGAGTGACTTCTATCCAGGAATCTTGACGGTGATCTGGAAGGCAGATGGTACCCCCATCACCCAGGACATGGAGATGACTGCGCCCTCCAAACAGAGCAACAAGTATGTGGCCAGCAGCTATCTGAGCCTGACGCCTGAGCAGTGGAGGTCCCGCAACATCTTCAGCTGCCAGGTCACGCATGATGGGAGCACCGTGGAGAAGACAGTGGCCCCTGCAGAATGTTCATAGGTTCCCAACCCGTCCCCCACCTATGGGGGCCTGGAGCTGCAGAATCCCAGGGGACGGGTGTCTGCATCCCAAGCCATCCAGCCCTTCTCCCTGTACCCAGTAAACCCTCATTAAACATCCTTTGTCAACCAGAAATCCTGCTCCCTCTCTTCATTTCTTATCTCTCATACAATTTGATGCTTCTCCTGGGTTCTCAGTGTGGCGTTGGGGGAATCCTGGCACCAGTGGGAAAGCAGCCTGGAGGAGAGGATCACAGCCTCCCAGGCATGTCCCCTGGGGAAATAGGCCAGGGTAAGGGGAGTCAGCTCACTGAACACCGGTCCATCCATTCTCTCCCCGCTCCTCTTCCTCCTTGCAGCTCACCCTCCAACTCGCTGCCTGCGTTTTGGAGGGAGCTATTTCTGGCTGAGCCTCCAGATACACCCTCTGTCCCTGTCTTGGTCTGGACCTTCGCCTGACCCACGGCCTCTCTTTCCTCAGCCTGGAAATCCTACTCTAGGCCTGGAGTCCCTCTGCTTCTGGCTCTGGCCCTTGGAATGCCCTCCTTTCTCTCTGCCCAACTCCCCAACCCCAAGGGCTGGACTGTCTAGGACACTCCCACGCCATCAAATTCATGAGCTCTTAAATTTGGGGCCCACCTTGATTTTTCACCTGACAGCAGGTTCAGAGGTGTGAGAAAAATAGGAGGAAGTCAGGAAGGAAGCACACATGAAAGGCCTGCAAGAGGCTCAGGACACTTTTAAAAGATAAGCTCTGAGCTCCCCAGGAACAAGTGCAAGAACGGCAATAGGTGCTCCATAATTTTTTTTTTTTTTTTTTTTTTTTTAGATGGAGTCTCCCTCTGTTGCCCAGGCTGGAGTGCAATGGCACGATCTGAGCTCACCGTAACCTCGACCTCCCAAGTTCAACCAATTCTCCTGCCTCAGCCTCCTGAGTACCTGGGATTACAGGTACATGCTTCAACACCCAGCTAATTTTTGTATTTTTATTAGAGACAGGGTTTCACCATGTTGTTCAGGTTGGTGTGCTCCATCATTTCTAAGAGATTAAACAAGTCTGCTCGAGGGAAGTTGGTGTTGTCAATGCTGAGGCCAGGCAGCTCATCATAATTAAAAGTGGGGATGTGTTTTACCCAAGGCCTCGCTATTGATGGGATTTGGGCTCCAACATGTGCACAGGTGACTGCCTCACAGCCCTAGGACATGGAGATTTTCTCAGATGTTTGGCACAGAAAGTCACTGACCATCTTTGGAGGAAGCATCATTTTTGGGAAACACTTCTCCATTGGATCCTGAGGCTCAGGTGGAAAACCAGGTCCTGTGTTGGGAATTTCTCTGTGAGGCTCCCTGGGTCTGGGGCTCCAGCTGCTGTCTGAGAAGAAGGTGTGGGAGGAGAGAGCATGGCCCAGCCACATCCATCCCCTCCTGCATGGTTCCTGCTGAGCAGGGTGTTCGAGGGGTGGGGGCACCACCAGTGGTCAGGCCTGTGTTTCTGTGGATGGGGCCAGGGAGGGACACTAGGGGCATCCTAAGGAGTCTCTCCGATGGCTCCTGTTTGACTTTCCTGTGGCTGCTGTCACAAATGACCCCTAATTTAGAGGCTTAAATATCACGTATTGATTCTCTCCCTGGTATGGAGTCAGACGTCCAAAATGAATCCTAGAGTCTAAAATCAGGGTGCCAGCCAGGCCAGGCTCCTTCTGAGGGCTCTGGGGAGAATCCATTTCCAGGATTTTTCCAGCTTCTAGAGGACACCCTGGGCTCCTGGCCCCTTCCTCCAACTTCAAAGCCAGAGCTCAGCATCTTCAAGTCTCTCTCCCACTCTTCTCTGTCTCTTCCCACCGTCTTCTCTCACCCTCCCTCTTTCTCTCCCTTTCTTTCCCTCCACCCCCACACCTGCTCTCACTCTGACCCTCCTGCCTCCTTCTTTCCCTTATAAAGACCGCACCTTGGACCCACCCAGATAACCCAGGATCATCTTTCACCTCAGGCTCCTTCACATCCTCACATCTGTAAAGTCCCTGTGGCCACACAACACTGCACATGGACAGGTCCCGGGACTGGGACACAGCCATCCCTGGGCCCTAATTCAGCCACCCACAGCTCCTTTCCCTCCTTCCTCTCTCCTCCGGGTATGAAAAGGGAATGCAGAGAGGTTGTCAATGAATACACAGTTACAATTAGATGCAAGGAGTGTGTTCTAATGTTGGATAGCAGAGTAGGGTGGCTATAGTTAGCAATAATGTATTGTATATTTCAAAATAGCTACAAGAGAGAACTTCAAATATACTCAACACATAGAAATGGTAAATACTCAAGGCCATACTCCAAATTCACTGTCTTAATGATGACATGTTGGATGCAGGGAACCAAACAGCACATGCGCCTCATAAAAATCTTCAATATTATGTATCAGTATAATATTTTCTATGAATAAGAAAGCCAAAAAAAGAAGTTAAGCATAAACTAGCCATTTGACCTAACAATTCCAGCCCTAGGAATTTATCTAGAAGAAATGAAAGCATGTGTTCAAAAAGATGTATACATAAATGTTCTCAGTAGCCTCATTCACTACAGGCAACAACTGGAAAGAACCCAAGTGTCCGTCAGCTAGAGAATGGATAGACCCTTGTGGGCTATAGATACAGTGGAGCGCTGCTCAGTTATACAAAGAAAAGAAACTATGGATACCGGCCACAGGAGGGATGGACTTCAAAACATTACAGTAAGTGAAAGAAGTAAAACTCCATGAGGGAAGTTGGTGGGTATGGACATAGTTTTGAACTGGCAGAATTTTTCTGTGTTCATTGGGGTATTTGGTACTGAGTCCCTATTGACCAGGTACTGTGCTAAGTACAGCAATTAGAGAAATGAGAAGCAGACACCATCTCCATTGTGATGAGACTCACCCAATCAGCCATTTCTGATGAACACTCAGGTACCCTGACTCTCACTGCTCACATTTGCAGGCTTTACTTTATGCCACTTAAACCTCCCTATTCCCCAAGTCTTCTTTCTTTTCTATTTTGTTTTTTAGACAGAGTCTTGCTCTGTCACCCATGCTGGAGTGCAGTGGCACCATCTTAGCTCACTGCAACATCCATCTCCTGGGTTCAAGCAATTCTCCTGCCTGAGCCTCCCAAATAGCTGGGATTATAGGTGCCCACTTCAAGGCCCGGCTAATATTTGTATTTTTAGTAGAGACGGGGTTTTGCCATGTTGGCAAGACTGGTCTCAAACTCCTCCTGACCTCAGGTGATCCGCCTGCATAGGCCTCCCAAAGTGTTGGGATTACAGGTGTGAGCCACCGCACCTAGCCCCCAAGTCTCTTTTCTTTCCAGCTCCCCTCATTAGACACAGCTTTTTAAAGCAATCCCTGCCATACCCATGGCTGCAATTGTTTTTTATATGCTCTGATGACAAAAAAATTTAAATGTCATTTTTTTATAGCAGCTTTATTTTACATGACACCTCATTCACTACGATTGTAAATTCAAAGTTGCTCTAAGAAAGTAATAACTAGGCTGGGCGCGGTGGCTCAAGCCTGTAATCCCAGCACTTTGGGAGGCCGAGACGGGTGGATCACGAGGTCAGGAGATCGAGACTATCCTGGCTAACTCGGTGAAACCCCGTCTCTACTAAAAAAAAAAAGTACAAAAAACTAGCCGGGTGAGGTGGCGGACGCCTGTAGTCCCAGCTACTCAGGAGGCTGAGGCAGGAGAATGGCCTAAACCCCGGAGATGGAGCTTGCAGTGAGCTGAGATCCGGCCACTGCACCCCAGCCTGGGTGACAGAGCGAAGTCTCCCTCTCAAAAAAAAATCAATCAATAAATAAAAAGGAAAGTAATAACTAAAAAGTTGTCATATTTTAGTGTGTAAATTTTAGGAAATTTCTGTAATGGTTTGACTTTGTGTGTGCGTTTTTTTTTAAACATGACTTGTGATGTCACAGAATGGAGTTATCCTACAGAGGTTCTATCTAATTTTCTACCAGAGAGCTCCATTTCAATGCAATACTTAAGAGTCCAAAACTATCCCTTTTTTTTGAGACGGAGTCTCACTCTGTCACTCAGGCTAGAATGCAGTGGCACGATCTCGGCTCACTGCAAACTCCGCGACCTTGGTTCAAGTGATTCTCCTGCCTTAGTCTCCTGAGTAGCTGAGACTACAGGCACCCACCATCGCATCTGGCTAATTTTTGTAATTTTAGTGGAGATGCGGTTTCCCCATGTTGGCCAGGCTAGTCTCAAACCCCTGACCTCATTATCCGCCCAGCTCGGCCTCCCAAAGTGCTGGGATTACAGGCGTGAGTCATTGCACCCAACTGAAAACTATCTTATTCCCCATACCTATTCCTCTTCCTCCATTCTCTGCGTAGGAGAAAGTCATTGCTATTTACCCAGTCCTTCAAACTAGAGCCTCGGCAGCCTGTTTTTCCTTTTACTTGCCCTGTTCTTCCACATCTAATCATCTAGCGCTTCCTGTTCTCTCTCCCAAATGATCACAAGACTTTTCCATCCACTGCAGTCATTTCCACTGCCTTTAGCCTTACCCGTTCTTCCAGATGAACATAATGTCTCTCTCTCTCTCTCTTTTTTTTTTTTTTTTTTTGAGACAGAATCTCTCTCGCCTAGGCTGGAGTTCAATGGCATGATCTTGGCTCACTGCAACCTGTAACTCCCGGGTTCAAACAATTCTCCTGCCTCAGGCTCTTGAGTAGATGAGACCACAAGCGCCCGCTACCATGCCAGGCTAATTCTTATATTTTTAGTAGAGATGATATTAGTGATCCACCCCCCTCAGGCTCCCAAAGCGCTAGGATTACTGGCGTGAGCCACCACACCCGGTTGTACCAGGGTTTTCTATTGAGTTTCTTGCCAAGGGTGACTTCCAATAATAACTCCCCCGCACTTTCCTCAGGACTGGAAAGCTCAGGCAGCCCAGGGTGAATAAAAGCCTGAGTAGTACCGTCACCACAGAGGGGCAGGGTGGCCACAAGGTGGGCAGCAGCAGGGATGGGCATTGTGAGGCATTGGGTGGGGTTGTGGGGCTGGGCATTGTGAGTCACTAGCCTGACCTGGCTGTTTCCTGGTAAGCAGGTGACATAGGAAGCTTTGTGGTTATAGGCATCAGCCAGGGCCAGCAACCCTCAGTTGGTAGCTGGTAGTGGAAGAAGGAGGAGCTCCGACTGTGCGACAGCAGGTCCCTGACCTCATAGACCAGCCAGTTTGGGAGGTGGCACCAGAGTAAGGGCTGAGGCCCCAGATCTGCCTGGGGTCAGGCTGCTTCTACAAGTGCTGTGCCAGCCTCAGTAGTGTGGCTGCTCGGGCAGCACCGTTTCAGTTTCATCGAAGGCTCAGGCAGGAGTGGAGAGGAGTGTGGGTGCCCCATGGGGTGTGTACTGACCTGTTGTATCGACTCCACCTGTAGCTGGTGCAGGGGGAAGGTGGCGCCCTGTTATGAATCTGTTATTTATGAGGCTGTGGCTGCTGCAACATCAGAATCCACTAGTGTAGAGCCTGGCAAGCTGGATGTGGGAGCCACCGAGGGCCACGAACTGCAGCACATCGGCAACCAAAAGATGCCCACAGGTAAAAAAGCCACGGGTGCTGTTTCCTCTCTGGCATGCCTGTGGCCACCCTCACCCCCTTCCCATACCCTCATCCCCAGAGACATCCTCAGCTTCCAGCTCCCTCCTGCCCATAGCCAGCTTTCCCAGATCTGGGGCATGGGGGCAAAGGCTGACTCTGCCTCTTGTCTTTGTCATTGAGGCTTTTTTGATCTAGAAAAGGGAGAGCCCTTTTTTCAATGAAAATTCAAATACCCCAATTTTGGAATCCCCATCCCATTCTCTAGCTTACCTGGCTGGCCAGTTTGGTACCTAAATGAAGGAACCAGGCAAGAGTCAGATTGTTTCTTTTCTACCATCCCTTATGGTGGTTTATTTTTTAAATTTTTATTTATTTATTTATTTAGATGGAGTCTTGGTCTGTTGCCCTGGCTGGAGTGCAGTGGTGTGATCTCAGATCACTGCAACCTGTGTTTCCTGGGTTCAAGTGATTCTTTAACCTCAGCCTCCTGAATAGGGACTACAGGTGCCCGCCACTACACCTGGTTATGTTTTTGTATTTTTAGTAGAGACGGGGTTTCACCGTGTTCGCCAGAATGGCCACAATTTCCTCACCTCGTGATCCACCTGCCTCGGCCTCCCAAAGTGCTGGGATTATATGCATGAGCCACCGCGCCCAGCCCACATCTTCCATTTCTTTACACTGTGTGTGCATCCACTGAGTCAGTGGCTGCTCATGCTCGCCCCAGCCCCTGACAGTGGGACAGTTCCCCATGGGGATCAGTACCTGATGAGTGCTGAGCCTCACTCACCTAGCTGTGCAGGAGGACTCCAGTGAGGGTGATGGGCACCAGGCTAATGATAATGTTGTCCTGAGTTCTGATGTGGCACTGGCCCTTGTCTGTCTGCTATGGATTGGAGCATCTCTTTTTATTTATTTCTTTATTTTTCTGAGACAGAGTCTCACTGGAGTGTGCAGTGGCTGGCGTGTGCAGTGGCTCAATCTTAGCTCACTGCAACCTCCACCTCCCAGGTTCAAGTGATTCTGCAGCCTCAGTCTCCCAAGTAGCTGGGATTACAGGTATGGGCCACCATGCCTGGCTAATTTTTGCATTTTTAGTAGAGACAGGCTTTCACCATGTTGGCCAGGCTGGTCTCAAACTCCTGACCTCAGGTGATCCACTGCCTCAACATCCCAAAGTGCTGGGATTACAGGTTTGAGCCACCACACCCAGCCATGGATTGGAGCATTTCTAAGGCTTGAGGTAGTCATATTATGAAATACAATGCAGTATCTTCCTGATCTTCCCTGCTTTGACCAAGTGCTGAGGAATGAGCCCAGCACTGACAGATGTTGACCTGCACTGTTCTACATGATCCCTTACACTTCTCAAAATCTGCGAGCTGACCAGAAGCCTGTGGGCTTTCTATGTGTATTTCACAGTAATGTCCATGCCAACATCTCTTGTTCCCTGTACCTTTTGCTACCCAGGGTTATGTGACCACTGGGGCCCCAGTTGATGATGGGCAAAGTTTGGTAGCTTATAGGCCACACAGTTCCAGGGGCACACATAGGTGCTGGAGCTCCCTGGTGTGGGGTCCTGTCACCAAGCCTGAGTGATGACACAGTTGAGTAAAACATGCCATCAACATCGGGACCCATTTTTGGGTTCACTTTTGCCTCTTCCATTCAGGAGGTCAAAATCTGGGTTCACTCCTTTCTGCACTCTCTCCATCTAAGGAGTAGGGATATTAAACTGACCTTCAGGTAGAGCTGTGGTGAGGGAAGAAAGAGGTCATTTATGTAAAGAGTATGGTGGTGCTGAAGTTTCTCTTCCTTTCTATTAGAAGAATGACATGACTTGGGAGGCTGAGGTGAGAGGACCACATAGACCAGGAATTCAAGAAAAGTGACACTTGTACTGTGCTGGGCATGTGGGGCCACATTTTGGGGGGGAAAACACACATTTACAGACACACTCACAATCACTACACATTGGTTCACCCCTAGCTACCTTCCAACCCGCCTGCACACATACCCACACCATCTAAATAATACGGCTGTCTCCAGGGACTCTAGTGGATGATCACAGCTCTTCACTGAGCCATCTGTTTCTCACACTGCACTCCAGGTCCTCACTGTTATCAGGAACCTGAAGCCAGGCAGTCTCTCCAGACAAAAACAGGCAAGAGAGTCTCCCACAACCCATCACTTAGACTTGTCATCAGCAAGGGAGTGGTCTTAGCATATGTACAGTGTTAGAGAGGCGAATGACACACACTGGGGCCTGTCAGTGGGCAGGGGAAGGGAGAGCATCTGGATAAACAGCTAATGTATGCAGGGCTTAATACTTAGGTGATGGGTTGACAGGTGCAGCAGAGCACCATGGCACACTTTTACCCATGTAACAAACCTGTACATCCTGCACATGTATCGCAGACCTTAAAAAAAAAAAAAAAAAAATTAGGAGGTGGATGGATTGTCTGAGGTTAGGAGTTTGAAACCAGCGTGGCCAACCTGGTGAAACCCTATCTCTACTGAAAATGCAAAAATGAGCTGGGTGTGGTGGCAGGTGCGTGTAATCCCAGCTACTCCGGAGGCTGAGGCAGGAGAATCACTTGAACCCAGGAGGCATAGGTTACAGTGAGCCGAGAACAAACCATTGCACTCCAGCCTGAGTGACTGAGCTAGACTCCGTCTCAAAAAAAACGAAAAAAAGAGAGGAGCTGTAGAGAAATATCACAGGGTTAGTACTCATACCTCTGAGACCCCTTCTGAGTAGGAGTGAGCAGGACCTGGCCTTCCTGCCTGCCGAGAGCATGGTGTGGACATCATCCTAAATGCCTCAAGAATGGAGTTTCATTGCTTTCTCTTGTCATCTCCATCTCTTTGTGCAATGATGGCAGTGACACCAGCAGAAATTGGTGAGGGTTCAGAACAGGAATCAGGTCCCCACTTGTCTGACACAGAGCAGACAGGACACAAGTCAGCAGGGATGGACTTCAGGGTCAGGACAGACACAGACAGGTCCCAGGCCTGATCTTCCTGGGGCTGGGACAGATGAGTTTTTCTTTTTCACCTCTTCTGGGAGTCACTTGAGGAAGGGTCCTTGAGGAGATACTGTTGGCCAAGGGTTTTCTGGGCCAGAAATGTGTGTGTGTGGTCTTTTCTTTTTCTTTTCTTTTGAGATGGAGTCTCACTCTGGAGTGAGTGGTGCAATCTCACTGGCTGGAGTGCAGTGGTGCGATCTCAGCTCACTGCAACGTCCACCTCCCAAGTTCAAGTAATTCTCCTGTCTCAGTCTGCCAAGTAGCTGGAATTACAGGCATGGGCCAGCATGCCCAGCTAATTTTTGTATTTGTAGTAGAGACGAGGTTTCTGCATGTTGGCCAGGCTGGTCTCGAACTCCTGACATCAGGTGATCCACTCGCCTCTGCCTCCCAAAGTGCTGGGATTACAAGTGTGAGCCACCATGCCTGGCTGAAATGTGTTTCAATGGGACTGACCCCATAACCCTGGGCCTGTAGCTGCAGCACTCCCAAGTAGCAGGGGAGGTGGGGAGGGACATGAGTTCCAGTGCACCAGGAGCTCAGCAAAGGGATGGTGACGGATTCCAGAGTCCAGCTCATCCTTGCAACCCTTCTGTGGAATCCAGAACACATTAGTTTCCACTTATTGTATAGAAGGTTTGGAATCTTCAGTGTCAAACTCTGTCTGTGTTATATTTTCCCACACTGTGGATAGAGGAACCCTGGCTATGGGCGTTTCCTGCCAGGGCAGTGACTGTGTCTTCCTCATTAGTCCTTATCCCAGAGGTCAGTCCTGGGGAGAACATGTTAGGCCCCATGGGCATTGTAGTGAACACATCCCTGGGATGAGTTCTAGGTCAGCCCTGGGCCTGGATCTAGCACAGGTGTTGAAATGTTCCCTTCTCAGTCTGTCCAGCCTGTTGAGCCCTACACCAATCCTGGAGCCTGCCCCAGCTCCTAAGTCAGGGTCCCTGGAGATGAGGTTGAGCTCTTGAGGACAGTGAGGTGCCTCTGGCCCTCGGCTCCTGCTGCTCTGATCCTGTCTAGACAGGGTGTGCAGGGCCACGCTCTTCGCTTGTGTGCACGTGCGCCCCCTGCTGGCATCCCTCTGTACCTGGATGTTGTCCTCATTGTTATATCCCCGGACCCACAGGACCTTTTGCAGATGTCCAGTAAGTATCCATAAATGTATGGTAGGAGCAGAGCTGCGAACTATTTTGCAAGGAAACACCAGGCGAGGAGAGTCATGTCTTCCTCATGTCTGGGTCTCCTGTGCCGTCTAGTGCGGTTCTCAGTCATATATGTGCCTCTTCATATTTAAATACATTTAAATATTTTCAATTAGAAGTTCAGGGCTGGGCGTGGCATCTCATACCTGTAATTCCAGCACTTTGAGAGGCCGGGGCGGGTGGATCAGCTGAGGTCAGGAGTTCGAGACCAACGTGGCCAACATGGTGAAACCCCATCTCTACTAAAAATGCAAAAATTAGCCCATATGTGGTGGTGCATGGCTGTGATCCCAGCTACTCAGGAGACTGAGACAGAAGAATCGCCTGAATCCGGGAGGCAGAGGTTGCAGTGAGCCGAGATCATGCCATTGTACTCCAACCTGGGCAGCAAGAGTGAAACTCTGTCTCGAAAAAAAAAAAAAAAAAATTCAGAACTTCATCTCAACAGCCACCATGCAATCCCCCAGCAGCCTTCTGTTCATGCAGCAGAGAGATTTCCATCCCCGCAGAATGTTCTTTCACATCTGCTGTAAGCCTGGCTGAGGGGCTGATTATTGAACTCCTCTAACTCAAAGCGTGCACCTTAAAGTGGGAATCTCAGGGCTGTGAGATTGGAGGTGAGACCTATAATGGGCCATTGGAAGGAAAAAGTTGAAAGGTGGTTCCTTCAGTTCCTCTTTCTCACTTGAAGGCTGGCAAGTGTGAGCAATGCCTTTCTAGAGACCTCTGACTCCCCAGAGCCCAGGGAGAGTCTGACAACACCGAGGGAAGGGCAGAGTGATCTCGTACAACCCAGTGTGGCCTCACCTGGAGTAGGAGGGTGGGCGAGGTGCTCTCTGGAATAACTTCTTGTGGAGTTTTTGTCTCTAAAGATTGGCCAATGGACACCGTCCATGAGGGCAGCTGCATTGAGGCAGACCTGCAGGTAGAGCATGATAGTCTAGGAGGATCTCTGGGAGCAGTTGAGTGACACCTGTTGCTTTGGAAATCAGGAAAAGGGCAATGAAGTCAGAACCAAAGGAAATATGTGTAG